TTTGCCTTCACTGAGAACTCAGTACTGTATATGCAAAAGGGTTCATAAGAAGTAGCCTTCTTTATGTTGAAGTTCACACAGGCTATCTGTAAAGGCTCTAAAGGTGTAAGTTGCACCTGTGGTTTTTTCAGAGCTGCAGAGTGTCTTATTGTGGCACTAACACCCTTCCTCCTTGGAAGGAAGATGGGGCAATCTACTTCCGTAGTGATACTGCCTTGGAAAACTAAGGAGGGGTCGCTATGAGTCGGGTCCGACTCCACGGCACATACCAACCTACCAACCAACAAACGCCCTCCCTACTTTCAAAACTAAGAAGCTCTGGTGGTGCAGTGGTTCAGGCATTTGGCTACTAATCAAAAGGTTGGTGGTTCAAACCCACCAGCTGCTGTGTGGAAGAATGATGAAGCAGTCTGCTTCTGTAAAGATTTACAGCCTTGGAAACCCAATGGGGGTCGCTATGAATCAGAACTGAATGATAATGAGTTTGGTTTATGGAATCTCAAAACTAAGACTTCATGGGGAGTTGCTAATAAACTCTTGACTATGGAGAAAAAACAATTGTTTGTGAATTATATATAACTTTGCACTGTATGCAGTAAATTGCTTGGATAGCTTTAAAACAGTAGAAACTGAAGGTCCTGTAGTTTGTTATTGTTAGGTGCCGTGGAGTTGGCTTCGACTCATAGTGACCCTATGTGTAACAGAACGAAACACTGTCCAGTCCTATGTGACGCTCACAATCACTGCCATACTTGAGCCGAAGTAAGCAGATGCTTAAGTTGTAATTATAAATATTTTTTTGCTTTGAAAAATTGATGGTGAAGTATAAGAATCAATGCTATTTATGGGTGGTTGCTATTGTTTTTCTATGTTTACAGGAAGTATCCAAACTGAGTAATAACACAAGAAAACTATCATATACTCTTTCAAAGTCAGACTACGGCATTGCATAACAATTACCAAACAGTAAATCTAACCCACTGCCATCAAGTCAATTCCTACTTACAGAAACCCCATAGGGCAGAGTAGAGCTGCCCCATACCATTTCCAAGTCTGGACATATTTACAGAAGCTGAGCATGGGGTGGCTGATGGGTTTGAACCGCTGACCTCTCATCTGAATGTACAAGTCATAAACCAGTTGCCATTGAGTCAATTCTAACTTATGGGGACCCCATGTGTCAGAGTAAAACTGTGTTCTATAGGGTTTTCAATGACTGATTTTCTGAAATAGATTCCCAGGCCTTTCTTCTGAGGTACCTCTGAGTTGACTCAAACCTTTCAGTTAGCAGCTGCGTGTGCTAGCCATTTGCATCACCCAACTCCAAACAAGTCACAGTTTACAGAAAAATTCAAGAAGCCAACACCCTCTGGCTGCTGAACTCAGTCTGTAAAAGAAGGTTGGGTGCATGGTGTATGGGTATGGGCAAATAAAGATGCTGGTTTTGAGGAAGCTGTGTACAAGTGCCACCTCTCTAGGTCCACAGCCAAGTGTTTGGTGGTGGGCAGGGGAAATGGCTGGAGAGCAGGGCCATCATTCAGGAGATAAGTGGGACATAGAACTGTGGGCCTTCTGTGAGTAATGGCTTCTGTTTCCCTTCCATCTTCCAAATCTCACGTAATTTCTACTCTTTTCCTAATTTATGCTCTACCATGAAGGAAGAGAATTCTGGAAAGTGAGTTCTCAACTTTAGCAAAGCTCTCACAACATACTCTAGAATAGGACCATGTAATATGCAATCTTTGGGGTTATCTTTCAAACTGAACAGAATTCATTTTCATCTCTATTGGACAAAAAGTCATTTGCAATTTATCAGTCATCTACAAATGAAAAAAATTATCAATCATTTAACTTTACAGAGTATGAGCCTTAATTAATAGTAAATAGTTGTTTCGCAGGAGCTCTGGTGGTGTAATGGTTAAAATGGTTCAAACTCATCAGCTGCTGTGCGGGAGAAAGATGTGGCCAGATTACCTTCTTTAAGAGGACAGTTAGATGTACCACTCAAATTTTGGAGAATTTCCCTTCACTTTTTCTCTCCAGGCCTCCCATCCCTTAGTCAAGTTATAACTCGTAGTTGACAGGAATCCAGTTCTACCTTGTGCTGGTATGCTCTGCAAAACCATTCACAAAACATGCCCAAGATTTTTAACCCTCTGTTAAATGGTCAAAGGGCATTTCCCATGAAGTTATAACAAGGTGGTGAAAGAGAAGTAGCAAAGCATTAGGAACAGTATCATGAGTCTGAGCAATATATGTTTGGTTTCCAGACTACCTTAGGCCTGGTCTTGTCTATAAAATTTCATTTTAAAATGAAATGCTGCTTTGCATATCTATTTTTACAATTCAATAGAGTTATTTGCTTTTGGATCTAGCAATAACAGTGGTGAGTCCACAGATTATTTGTAGGCAGGGGGATGAGATAAGTCACATTAACTCCATGCTCTTGCCCTCTAGGGAAGAGGGGTGAAACACCTTTAAAACGATCTCTTTACGCAGTCTGATTTCCTGATAAGAAAACTGAGACTGACAGGGCCTAGTACATCCCAGAGAATTATAAATTTAAGTACCAAACAAATCAAACAGTCCTATTCCAGAACCCACTTTAATTCTAGTCTGATAATTGTATCAATGTATAGTTTTCAAAAAGTATGGAAGGCATTGGCTTCTCTTCAAAATGGTAGTTTAGGAAGTCTATGACCTAAGACTAGCTTTTGCTGGGTAAAGCAGTATTAATTTACACCAGCAATCCAAGTTCCTTGGACCTTACTTTGGCAGCTTGAGAGCATTAAAAATTGGTTTTATCAGACTAGAATTACAAAGTGAATCCAGAGGTTGGCCTGACGTGATCTGGTACTCCTAAATTTAAAACCTTTCCCGGATATTCTAATACGTATCCTTTCAGTAATCAGATTAAAAAAAAAAAAAAAATCAACTGAGACCAGATCGTCAACACTTACCCGAAAGCAAAAATGAGGAGGCAAGGAGAAGAGAAGATACAGCAATGAAAACAGAACACAATGGAAATGACAATGTTGATATATTGAAAACCAATGTCCCCCATCAGTTTGTATAAAAATTACTAACTCATAACCAAACTTGCTGTAAACTTCACCTGAAACAATAGTTTTTCAAGAGTGCGACGTTGTGTACTAGCTTTTTTTTGGGTAGTAGGTGGCTCTGAAAAGAGCCTTTGTTTTCCCGCTTTTCCAACCTTGACTCTTTATTTGGTTTTGTGGTGGCTCTCAGTCTTCTTAGGCAGCAGCACGGCCTGGATGTTGGGCAGGACGCCACCCTGAGCGATGGTGACTTTGCCTAGCAGCTTGTTGAGCTCCTCGTCGTTGCGGATGGCTAGCTGCAGGTGGCGGGGGATGATGCGCGTCTTCTTGTTGTCTCGGGCCGCATTCCCCGCCAACTCCAGGATCTCGGCGGTTAGATACTCCAGCACCGCCGCGAGGTACACAGGAGCGCCGGCGCCGACCCGCTCGGCATAGTTCCCCTTGCGGAGGAGGCGGTGCACTCGGCCCACCGGGAACTGGAGCCCGGCGCGGGAAGACCGAGTCTTGGCCTTGGCGCGAGCCTTGCCACCCTGCTTGCCACGTCCAGACATAGTTGAAACAACAAAACGACTAGCAGCTACTGGAGTGGAAGGACAGTAGCAGCACCTTTTATAACCATTATTAGGCGCGAAAAAGAATACGTATCATTGGTTAAAATTGAAGTTTGACTTAAGCCAATGGAAGTGCGATATTAAATTTGGCTTTTTCTGATTGGGCAAAACCTCCTTCTGACGTCACATTGAATAATCACCAATCAAACACAAGATTATAACTCATCACTTCATTTTCTTAAGAGGTTCTCTATAAAAGAGGATACATCACTCTTTCCTCACTCTTTTTCTCTTCCTTGATCATCAGTAGTTGTGATCATGCCTGAACCGGCCAAGTCAGCTCCAGCTCCCAAGAAGGGCTCCAAAAAGGCGGTGACCAAGGCGCAGAAGAAGGATGGCAAGAAGCGAAAGCGCAGCCGCAAAGAGAGCTATTCCGTGTACGTGTACAAGGTGTTGAAGCAGGTTCACCCTGACACCGGCATCTCCTCCAAGGCCATGGGCATCATGAACTCCTTCGTCAACGACATTTTCGAGCGCATAGCTGGTGAAGCCTCACGCCTGGCGCATTACAACAAACGCTCGACCATCACCTCCAGGGAGATCCAAACAGCTGTGCGCCTGCTGCTGCCGGGGGAGCTGGCCAAGCACGCCGTGTCCGAGGGCACCAAGGCCGTAACCAAGTACACGAGCGCCAAGTAAATTTACCAAGCAAACGCCTGTGCCTCGAACCCCAAAAGGCTCTTTTAAGAGCCACTTACGCTGTCCGTATTGGAGCTGCAAACACAGGTACCGTATCCGGGTTTAAATTCAGACTAATCTTCCAAAAGTGACTGAGGATTTCACTGCAAGGCGGACTAATCAGTAAGCCCGACAACCCGGTTTAATTGTCTTGACAGATGAAATTGTGTACTGCAAATTAGCAAATGTGCAAACTTCAGCGTACTTTACTCACTGAGTAATCCGTCCCTGCCTCACTAAGTAATACGCATAGTGCTCGCAACGGCTCTGGCTAGATTGAAATTCAGTGTGTGTCTTAAATCAAGGAACACGGCACTTAAAAAGGCCAGGGATAGGCAGAGAAACTTAAGGCTCGGACTCTGGCGCGAGCCAATTGAGCTTTCACAGCCTATTTTGCCACGTGTCAGCCCCCGTCAGTTATAATTATAAGTGAATTTAGTTCAGCGACCATCCAAAATGCAGCTTTTTAGCTCAGCAGTTGTGGCTGAAGTGGGATATGTTAAGAAGTAGTGGAATGGGGGAGGAGGTTAACAATGTTTGGTTTCAGCCTTTCGTAAGACTTCCGGGATCTCTCAGCTTCCGCATCTCGCTGCCACAGCCTGAAGTGAAGGTCTGGACAAAGCCCGACCACCACCTGTGGTAAAATCTGCAAAAGAAAACTAGAAACATGGCTTTGCTTCTCATGAATGAAGACATGAAATTTGAAAGATTACAGTGCAGAATTCGTGTGAGCAGTTCACTAGTTTTTAAGACATTTCAAGGTTCACTGATTAAATCAGTAATTTTTTCAAGACAAGAACACTTACAGAGTTTTGAGAGGGAAAATCTTGACTGGAGTTAAGGGAAGAGATAAACAGATTTGAGAGCAGGGCAAGAACGTCCCTGAAGCTGGAATGTCACTTAGAAAGAAGAAGTAATATTGCCCCAGGCCCAGAATTTAAATACAAGTTAGGTGGGTTAGTTATGTAGTGTGTCTTGAGACTAACAGTGAGACTGGCTCCTTATGCCAGTAATCAACTGGGTGAACCTTTTACAAGTTGAAGAGAGAGGAGTCAATGAGTTTTAAATTAGGTTGTGACCTACTATATTTGTTTTATAGAAGTAGGGGCCAGTTTTCTAAGATTAGTTTTACCTTGATTCATCAATTCAACATGTATTTGTGTCATGCACTGTTGTAGTCTCTGGGGATATAGTGAGTGATCTTATGTTAAGGAATGAATTGCCTGCCCTCTTGAAATGCATTTGGAAACAGCAAGATCAAATTGGAAATTTTCACACACACAAAGCATGTGCTCACTGTTCATCTGAAGTTTTCTATCAGCAATTTATGGATTACTGGAATATTCTAAGAAATGTATCAATAAATAATTGTTAACATTTATTAAGTAGGTCCCTGGGTGGGACAAATAATTTGCACTTGCCTAAGGCATTTGACTGCTAACTAGAAGGCTGGCGGGTTCAAACCCACCAGCCACTCTTCAGAAGGAAGATGGGGCAGTCTATCTACTTCGATAGGGATACTGTGTCGGAAACCCAAGGAGGGGTCACTATGAGTTGTGTGAGACTCTTCGGCACATAACAACAACAATCAAAATTGGTTTAGTCCACCCAGAGGCACCAGGTAAGAAAGACCTGAGGATCAGGTCACAACCTGATCAATCCTCAGATCACAGCCACTGCAAACCCTATGAACGAAGTTCTAGTCTGAAACATAAGATCACCATGAGCTGCAATCAACTAGGACAACAGGTTTGGTGATGAAGCCCACAGTCAGGTATACCCTAGCTACTCTGATTAGAATAAGATTTTACCCCAGAGTTGTAATGGTTTGGTGGCGTCATTATTTCTAGCTTCAAACCATTTTTGCAAATGGATATCTCATCTTGATTTCACAAGAAATTTACTTTCAGACCTTTTTGGTCTTGTTCCAAAATTCTGAAAGTGCCTTGTGTTTTCATAGAAATGTTAGGGGGAAGTGGCCATCACTTTCGCCTGCTCTCACCATCACCTTTTTTTCTCACTGCCTCCACACAGATCTCATTTTGTTTTTCCAGATAGCTCAGAGTTTAACAGGTAGAAGGAATCACAATGTTTAAGTCAATGTTCTTTTACAAACATGAAGTATAGAGCTTAAATAACTTGTTCAAATTGCTGCAGGCAAAATAAGATTAAAATTCTTACAATATGCCATTATTATTTTTCCATTATGCTATATATCTTTGTCATTTATTTTCTATCTAGCCATATAAATTAATTTGACTTATTTTGGGACAAAAATAAAGCCTTTTTAACTTAATATTTTATTTTCTCTTTTAAAGTTATTAAAAAGTTGAGTGTACATATAATATATGTATATAATATATGTTGTTATTATGTGCCATCAAGTTGGACCTGACTCCTAGCAAGCCCTCCTTGGGTTTCTGAGGTGGTATCACTACAGAAGTAGATTGCCCAACCTTCTTTCCGAGGAGTGGCTGGTGGGTATATATAATATATATAAATTTTTACATGTATCCTAAAATAGCTCATTTTCTGATGGGTAGTTCATGTAAAATAATTGCCATGTAATCCTGAACCACAGGAATCCAGTTTGGCAATATTTAAACCAAAAAAACCCAAACTCACTACCGTCTAATCAATTCCGACTCAGCCACCTCCTTAGGGTTTCCAAGGCTGTAAACCTTTATGGGGGTCTTAGGGGATGGCCTCAGGGCCTCAGGCAGTCAGCTGTCACACCCAAGGCTGTCGGTTCAATCCCACCAGCCACTCCTCGGAAGGAAAATGGGGCAATCTACTTCTGTAGTGATACTGCCTTGGAAACCCAAGGAGGGGTGGCTATGAGTGGGTCCGACCAGACGGTACATAACAACAACAAACCTTTACAGAAGTAGATCATCCCGTCTTCCTTCGGACCTGCTGCTAGGTTTCAGCTGCTGATCTAGGTTAATAGTCAGATGCCTTACCCAATAGGCCATCACTTTAAATGAAATGAAACCAAACTAAACCAAACTCACTGCCGTGAGTCGGATCCAACTCATAGAGACCCCTCCTTGGGTTTCTGAGGCGGTATCACTATGGAAGTAGATTGCTCAACCTTACTAAACCTGCTTAGTGCTGGAGGAAAGCTGTCTTATTTCTCCCTTTTCTCCCTCTCTCCTTGTTCTAAATTCTTATATTTTCATCCTTCTGTCATGCCCTTTAATTCAATTTAAAAAATACCCATAATCTCTTGGACAATAGCTTGGACAAAGGAAAGGTGATGGGAAAAGAAGAGGACCAAGAGTTCTTTTAAAATAGCTTTCTGTTGGTTTACAATTCAGGGGGTAATGGTTAGTTCCCTTAAACGATCACATGTCTGTGGATTTTTAGCAATCATCTACTTCCATAGATTTAACACCTCAGAAACCCAATGGGAGTCACTATGAGTCGGAATTGACTTCATGGCAGTGAGGTTTTTTTTTTTTTTTTTTGTAAAGTACTGGTTAAGATAGTTAGCTGCTGACCAGAAGGTCAGTGGTTAGAATCCACCAGCTGTTCCATGGAAGAAAGATGGGGCAATCTGGTTCCATAAAGATTTACAACCTTGGAAACCTAATGGGTTGCTCTGAGTCAGAATTGATTGGATAGCAGTGAGTTTGGTTTTGGTACCCATAATTATTGAAGAATAGCTGTAGTTGTCAGTTAAGCAATCTAGCCTAAATTGGGGATCCTTGGCATTTACACTTGAATCTAGAACTATGGGCTCTATCAACATGGAAAATCTCAATGATTTCATTTTTATCATTTTTATCTATAAGGAGTCCTGGTGATGTAGTGGTTAAGGGCTTGGCTGCTAACCAAAAGGTCAGGAGTTCACTCACCTCACTCTCTGCAGGAGTAAGAGGTGGCAGCCAGTTTCTATAAAGATTTACAGCCTTGGAAACTCTACAGGATAGTTCTACCCTGTTCTTTAGGCTCACTATGAGTTGGAATCAACTTGACAGCAGCAGGTTTTGGGTTTTCACCTACTAATAAAAAAACCAAACTCACTGCTGTCCAGTCAAATCTGACTCATAGTAACCCTTCCTCGGGTTTCTGAGGCAATATCACTACTGAAGTAGATAGCCCAACCTTCCTTCTGAGGAGTGGCTGGTGGGTTTGAACTGCCAGCCTTTTCGTTAGCAGTCAAATACCTTAAGCACTAGGCCACCAGAGCTCCTTACCAACTAATAGGAATAGCTTATCTGTTGAGCCCAAGGAGGAGTCACTATGAGTCGGTCCAACTCCACAGCACATAACAACAATACTATTTAAAACATCTTGGCCAGGGAGAAAGGAGAGTTGTTCATTGTTGCCATGAACTCCACCCACTAAGACTTCAGATTCCCCTAAGGACAGTGAGTTTGGTTTGTTTTTTTGGTGGGAAATGAAAAGTTATTTTGGGAGTGAAACCTGGAGGCTTATTTTAACTGTGGTTAGTGATTTAGCAGTGGTATATTTGGTCCCTAAGTATCTTTGGGTCTAAAAATTGAATGAATTGGTCAACAAGTTTAAGAAAATGGCTTGGCTTTTCTCAGGTGAGCTAGGGAAAATTTAACCACACTGATATTCTAATCTTTCTTTGGAGTCAAATGTCTACCCAAAGACACCTGTTGATCTATTTCCCAAACCAAGTAAATAGATGGCAACTGTTATTTATTTATTTTAAATATTTCTTTACTCTTAATGCTTAATACAAAGGAAGAAATCTCACCATTCCATGTGAATGGTTGTGTGAGAATTATAATCTATTGTGTCAAAGACCTTTGCTGGTATCACTAGAGGTATGCATTGGAAGAAGTCCTCATCTATATCATTAGATATATAAATGGAGGAGAAGGAAATTTGCTCTTCATTTGGTTTCTTCTACTTTCCCACTAGGATTTTTTGACTCCCAGTTGGTGTATCTGGACCTGAAAACTTAAAGCCCATTTGTTACTGTAAAACTATGCCGCTCAATAGAAATATATATGCAATTTTTATTTTTTTAGTAACGACATTTTTAAACAAAGGTAAAAAGAAACAGATGAAATTAATTTTAATAATATATTTTATTAGAATAATATCTCAAAATTATTATTTAAACATTTAATTAATACAATATTTATTTTGCATTATTATTATTTTTTCATCTTCAAACCAAAACCAAACTCACTGCCATTGAATCAAAATCCTGTTCATATTTTACACTTGCAGTACATAAAAATTTGGACTCTAATTTTCATTGGAAATAGCTTATCTTTATTCAAAGTTCTTAAATTTGTAGTTAAGCAAGTGGATTCACATACTGATGTTCCAAGCATAGTTAAACATTATCCAATAAATGAACCCCAGTATCCATTTTTAAATGTAAACTAATTAATAAAACCCATCTCACAAGATAGTTCCAAATATTACATGCAAGAATGCATGTAGAACACTTAGCAGAAATTTGAATAGACTTTCACTATTATTTCAGGTATTATTTCTCTCCTCTCACTCACTGCGTTCTTTTGTCTTTTTCATAATGAATGCCTTACAAATTTTAAACATGCAGTTAATCATTGTTTATTAGAAAATAGGAAGATTAATCTGTCATCAGAACTTCCTTAGCTCTTTCTTAATGCTATTTTTACAGCTGTTTCAGAAAAGCTTTATACATCACTTCAAGCCAAATGATGAGATAAGTGTCAAATTTCTTTGCCCGTTGATAACTGGCTCTTTAGGGGAGAGAGGGAACAATAACTCCTATATGAGAAGTAGAATTCTTGAAAACAAACAAAAAGAGAAATTCAACACTATTAAAATTAATTTTTGTACATCTGAAGATATCCCTGAGATTTAAAAACATACCAAGGTAAGAAAATATATTTGCCACATGCTAACAAAGGGTTAAAAATAAGACTATATACAGAATAATTATAAATCGTTGTTGTTGTTATGTGCCTTTGAGTTGGACCTGACTCATGGTGAGGCCTTCTTGGGTTTCCTAGGCAGTATCACTACAGAGGTAGATTGCCCAACCTTCCTTCTGAGGAGTGGCTGGTGAGTTTGAACCGCCAGCCTTCTGGTTAGCAGTCAAATGCCTTAGACACTATGCTACCAGAGCTCCAATTATAAATCATAAAACAAAAGAGATCTCAGAAAATAAAGACAATGAACAAAGAATATGAACAAGCTGATCCTAGAAAAGAGTAAATAAAAGCAAGCTCATATGATAATCAGAGAAATACAAATTAATCCACAGTGGGATACCATTTCACAAATCATTAGATTGGCAAAAATTATGGTGTGCCATGACATTTGTAAATGTAGTGAAGATATGGAGTAACAAGAAGTCTCAAATACATTGGTGGAATATAGGAATGTAAACTGAAAATGCTAACCTGGAAAGCAAATTGTCCTTTTAGATTCATGTTGAATATGCACATACCCTGTTATCAAGAAACTCTGTGCCTAGATATGCTAACTAGAGGAAGCACACAGCTGTGTCCAACAGTTTCCAATGTAGCACCGTTTGTGGGATGATAAAGAAAACAATTTAAATTCCCATCAACAAGAAAATGGATAAGCAAATTATGTATTATTGAGGCATTAGAAAAAAATAATGATGATAAATTATACTTACATGTAACACATTTCAAAATCAAATGCCAAAAAAAAACAAAAAAAAAAACAAACCTAATGTTTCACAAAGGCATGTAAAGAAATATATTTTTTGAAGTTTGGTAAATGTGCAAAATGATGCTATCAATTTTTTAGGGGTATGTACATATAAAGTTAAAAAAAAAAAAAATGCATGGGAAAAATACCAGGCACCAAATTCAAGAACTGGTTAATTCTAGGGTAGGAAGAAGACAGGCTGTGCTATTGACAATTGTATTAGAGCTTAAACTGAAGCACGTGGTTTGTGGAAGGCTCTGGTCTACAGTGGGAGCCCTAACTCCATTGAGTCTTGATACAAATTCAGAAACATTTGGGTTCTTTCTGACTTTTAAATCAACATTGTGGCCATGCATAGACAAGTTCTAGGACAAACATAGGAAGTGCCAGTTTGTCCTCAGGAAGTGTGGTTGAAAGTAAATTATGCTTATACTAAGAGTTTAGGGAACGCGCTTGGGTATGTCCTTATGTAATTTAAATTAAGGTTGGAGTCCTAGTATTGTCTTATGGCTAAGACTCAGGGCCATGTAATCATATGTCACAGCCAAGCTGACAAGGCCCAGAACCAACCCTGTAACACTTTCTCATCTTCAGTTATGTACATATTCCAGCCATAGTCTTTTCCCCCATTTTATAGTCTCCCTTTGTTTTCAGTCATATAATTAGCCTGATGGTGGTACCTCTGAGAACTTCTCTCAGCATTCTGTATTGTGCATATGCTCATGGTTTCCCTCATCCTGGATGATTGAATTTTCTTCTTCCTAAAGCTTAATAAAAGTGTCTCTAACCAGCCTGTTTGAATCTGGGGTCTCATTTACCCTAGCATACACTGGACACACGGAGATGTAAGTAAATTGTATTTAAATGGCAGTGTTCATTAGCCTGTTTTCTGTATATCCAGTTATCCATTATTTCAAATAATGATAAAATAGTAAGAAAGCTCTGGTATCATAGTGGCTAAGGCACTTGACTGCTCACCAGAAGGCTGGCGGTTCAAACCCACTCAGCCACTTCTCGGAAGGAAGATGGGGCAATCTACTTCCGTAGTGATACTGCGTCAGAAACCCAAGGAGGGGTCGCTATGAGTCTGGTCCCACTCGAAGGCACATAACAAAGAAAGGCAAACCTAGAAAAGGAGGTAAGAGATGTTAACGTTTTAATATTGCCTCAGCTGTGTTCTCAAAAAGCAAGGGGACTTTGAGTATTCCTCCTAGAGGTTTCTGCCATGAGTGGAATGTATTTCTTACTTTTGGATCCTACATCTTTCTCTCGGCGGGCACATTCACAAGAGAGGACTTGTGAGTAGTGGTAGGTGGGGAATGTTGGGACGGAGCATATCTAGGCCACAAACCTTATTTTCTCACCTTTCTACAGCCACGACCCAGAACGACGCCAGAAATAGCTTGCAACTGGCAAGCCGGGGCTTACAGAATCCTGGCAGACCTAGCGTCTCAACACCCCAAGGGGCCCATCAGGCATGGCTACATACACACTATAATTATCACAGCTCCTCCAGATGAAATTCTGGGGGCCCTAAAAAGGGCCTTTGTCTTTAGCATCCTACAGAGTGCTAAATGCTACCGCTCAGCCGCCAAAGCCGTAGAGGGTCCGCCCTTGGCGCTTGAGCGCGTAGACCACGTCCATAGCAGTGACTGTCTTGCGCTTGGCGTGCTCGGTGTAGGTGACGGCGTCGCGGATCACATTTTCTAGGAAGACTTTGAGCACCCCGCGGGTCTCCTCGTAGATAAGGCCAGAGATACGCTTGACGCCGCCGCGCCGCGCTAGACGCCGGATGGCAGGCTTGGTAATACCTTGAATATTATCACGGAGGACCTTGCGGTGACGCTTAGCGCCTCCTTTACCCAAGCCTTTTCCGCCTTTGCCGCGACCAGACATTCTCGGAAAGCTGGAGGACAGGCTCATCGGCTAGCACTAGCAGTCTGCTTTTATAGGCAGTCTAATGCGGACCAGAGTGAAAACCTAAAGAGCGGTGGCGGGAAGCCGCTCGGGGTTGGAGGAGGTTTTGTAAAAGGGGAAGAAGCCTGCTAGCTATTCCCGCGGTTCCTGTCCTTTATATCCTCAGAGCCTCGGAAATTTTTCCTTTCTCTTTTCTCCTTCGCTGTGTTTTCCCCACCACCATTGTACATAAAAAAAACTTCAACACTGTGGACGATACGTAAAAAGCAAAAAAGAATAAAATACTAAAATGCTAGGTTTATTTATTAGGTGTCTTATCTCTACACACACAAGTTAATCTTTTTCTAAGTTTTCGTGTTAGACTATCCTCGGAAGGAAGCTGGGGCAATCTACTTCTGTAATGATACTGCCTCGGACACCCAAGGGAGGTCGCTATGAGTCGGGCCGGCTTGACGGCACATAACAACAACAACAACAATACCTTTATGAAATTTTTTCAGTTATAATTTGGTGGATATATACTACATGTGCTCCATATGAAGACTTTCTAGAATAAAATAGTAACAAAATGAGTGATTTTAAACAACATTGCTCAATTCTCTTCTACCAAAGGTGTACCAGTTTTTAATTCCCACAGCAGTTTCTGGTCTGTCTACAACTTTACCACTGGTGGCTAGAATCGTTTTTTAAAAGTGTAACTCTATAATAATCCTGTTTTTATTTATTGTATAGAGAATACATTTTTGTATTGAGAAAGTTTTAATTCTGGAATCCTAATGTCAGATTAGAATTTCTGGGAGATGAACATATGTTCTAACTTCATAACCTAAAGCTCTCTATTAATCTTGTTCAATTTAAACATCGCCTTATTCTACTTGTAGCCATAAGCACATAAGAATCCTGCCCCTGCAACCACATTCCTAAGATCATAAAACAAAGACAGGAAGAGCTCACAGTACAGGGCAACTACATTCCTCAGATCCTGAGACCAAGGAAGAGACACTGCAACAGAAATAACACAAATGTAAATTTACTGCTTAGATAGCATTTCCTGGTAACAGGCCATTCTTGAAATGTCTTCTAGCCCACTACTTGTGGTCAGGTTTAATCAGTTTTGAAGCCTGCACACCCCTACCCTCCTTTACTGCCTGATGAGCTAAGATGGCCGATCTAAGGCAAAACCAAGACTTGAACCAACAGCAAACATCAGAATACCCCTGCCAGAAGTAGTGGCATCCATGTTGAAACACACAGACTCCATCTTAGAAAGAGATTGCATATACACCTAGCCTGAAGGAAGTTGAGATCAATCGTTAGGAATTTATCACAGCCTTGTCTGCTTCCTGACTTTTACACAAGGGTCAGGATTTTATGAGTAACCTGCCTGCATTAGTTCTTTTGAAATCGCGGACCCAACAGCCTTAAAACTATTACAAAAATCCATAGCCTGTAAGGCTCTGGGAGACACACGTGGTGTTGCCTCTGGCCCAGTGTGTCTCTACCTTCCTAGGTCACTATCCTCTTATTAAAATTCTTTCCGAGCTACTGCTGCCTTTCTAGTCATTATTTTGGAACTTGACCTACGACACATGGAGTTGAGTTAATCCACCCAGGCCACTACCCTTCAAAAGATTTTTTGAACCTTGAGCAAACCAGTTTCCTAAAGTCACCTTTAAGTCAAACAATAGCAGTTTAGTGAAGACTATTTTGCCTTAGGCCTTGGGTTCTTATGAAGAATTATCTCTGTACAGTCAGTTCAGAGAAGCAGGAACTCCAGGTTCAAACTGGAAACTATGTTTTAGGATGGATTGTTATTATGTAAATACTGTTCCTGGACTTTTCCCATGATGGTGTCACTAACACAGGGTACAAGAGTCTTTGGAGGATCTCTCGTTTTCAAAACATTTTTGACTTTCTAGTGAAAATGGTACCCTGATTTTCAATGGTAAATTCACTAAACTTCAATCAATTTCTATTATTGGAATAATATGATTCTTGTCTTAACAAAATGTATTGTTTGTAGATACTTAATTAAGAATATATATCTATATTATTATTACTTAAATTCTGAGAAATTTGAATCCTTTCAGCATTAGCATGCAATCTCTTTGTTATTTAGTGATTTTCTTGCTATCAGATATTTCAATTTTTTTAAAGCATTGCTGCATTACAGTATTTAAAAAGTATTCTACTTAAATTGCATAACAATAAACAAGTAAATAAATAAAACAGATAAATTTTTCATTAAAACATTTAAGTGATCCTCCATCTTATCTTGCAATTGTTAATGCTGAATTTTTTGTGAACCCTTTGATACTGGAAAACAGCCATGGTTAAAGAAATCATCTACTGTTTGTGTTCAGGGAAAGGACTTACTGCAAATAAGTTGACACACAGCTCCAACTATCACACACCCTATCTCTTCTGACTGATGAGTATCTTTGAGACACTTCCAGAGTGTGCTTCCTACTGTAGCAATTCCCCTTCCCAACCATTACAATAATTATTTTCTCTTTCCCCCTTTTCTTTCTCAATAAAGCTTCTCCCCACCAAAGACTAGATTTGTTATTTTATTTGACACAATAAAAGAAAACTTGCCAAACATGTTTGGAAAAACAAAACAAAACATTCAAAAAGCAAAAGCGGAATTCAGTATATTTTATAGAGGAGGTATAGGTTAATTCAACAAGTTAACTGGAATGCATTTTTAGAGACTTTATTTTAAAAATCAGTAAAATTTCCATCATCCAGAAGCCACTGATTCATGAATTTTGTAAGCAAAGTAAACAAGGATAATGTGTATTAGAAACAAAAAACAAAACAAAACAAAAAAAACTGCACTGCTGTGGAGTCGGATCAGACTCATGGCGACCCCTCCTTGAGCTTGCAAGGTAGTATCACTATGGAAGTAGATTACCCAACGTTCCTTCTGAGGAGTGGCTGGTGGATTTGAACTGCCAGCCTTCTGGTTAGCAGTCAAGTACTTTAGCCACTATACTACAGAGCCAGGTAGCATTCTTAATTTCCAGTTCAATGTAATCAGTATTGTGTCTCCAGATGGGAGCATTCCTCCCTTTGGGAGTCTAATCTGATAAATCCAGTCTAACAGGCCAATTTCCCTAAGCCTCTGGATACCTTCTTTTACATTATACCAAACCAGGTCTGATACTTCAATTTGACTTAAGGTAGTCCACCGCATAATCCATGCTTCAGTAAGCCAACCAAACAAACTATTAGATCCTTTCCTAACCTCTCGAGCTGAAACAATGAATGAAGAATCTGTACTTAGTGGGTCTAAATCAATAAACTCGGACTGATCCAATGTTACATTTCTTGCACCATTATCCCACACCCTCAGTAGCCATTCCCATACATATTCTCCAAGTTTCTGTCTGTACATGTTAGCAAAATCAAGTAGGTCTTTTTAGGTATAGTGTACCACCTCATCAGTCACACTTTGCATCTCACCTTTTGGGGCTCGCTTGGACTTAACTTTAGTTATAGGTCTAGCAGCAACAATTGGTGGTTGGGGCAGTTCCTGAGAACATTCAGCAATGTCTTCATGGCCTCAGCCTCAGGCAATGACCCAGAAGGAAGAGTTGGGTTAATCTCATCAAACTATGGTGGAAGGGATAATGGTTTTATAGTAATCCGTTCAGATGGGAGGGATTCAACAGAATTTACAGGCTCCATATCCTGATCTTATCTGTCTGTATGTCCCCATTCCAGGTTTCAGGATCCCATTTTTTTCCTAAACAATGCCCTCACTTTAACTTCAGACACCATTCTGGATTGGTAATTTAATTGGCATTGTAATTCAGGCACCCTTACAATAAGAGTCTGGGTTTGTTTTTCAGCAATATCAGCTGTTACTAGAAGAAATAAGGCTTTCTTTCAGAGCACAACTGGAAATATTGAGGTCTTTTATGTGGCACTTAAGCCATGTCTGTTATACTCCCCATGCTGACAAAATTGCAGAACTATAATTTTTGAGCGAACTATAGCAGATAGAATTGTCCCATAGAGTTTCCCAGGCCACAATCTTTACAGAAGCAGATTGTCACATCTTTCTCCCGCGAACCAGCTGCTGGATTTGAAACTCCTACTTTTCCGTTAGCAGCAGAGCGCTTAACCTCTGCACCAGCAGAGCTCTTTCATTTGATCTTAAGTGTGTAAATCTAGCTACACTGAGGGACAGCGGAGTGCCTCCGAGAATTAAACAAAAGAACTGGGAACATTTGTCAGGAGGAATGTGTGGCTGACAGTCTGGTTGGGGAGGTGCAGGCTATTTAGTCACAAAGTTCTGCTGCGCCACCACTGCCGAGCTCTAAGGTAGGCCACCGCATAATCCATGATTAAGCGATCATGCTCCCTGGCCCGCGCACTTCTGGTGGCACCGGATTTCGCGCAGCGCCCCCTTACGGGGCCGGTAGCATCGAGGCTTCTTCACCCGGCCTCAGTAGTCAGCGACTTCCGCCATGCGCCTCGCTGCCAGCTGACGTGTTAGCAGTCTGTCGAGTTCGAGCCACAGCCTTTGTACTCACTTAAACTGAGAAGGCTAACGGCTGCCTGTGGACAGACTAGGTTTAAAGAAGTAGTGTTCTAATAGATGTGTTCACCATTATCTACTTTTAACACGTGGTCATTGTTATCTGCATTTCAACCTTAAATACTCTACAAACCGAGGTCGGGGAGAAAACCTTAGTCCTCAGCTTGCCAAGTTTATTTTTACCCAGCCTCCGTGTAGAGTGCTACGTTCTTTTCCAGCAAGTGTGGGTGGCTCTGAAAAGAGCCTTTGGTTTAAGAGTCGATTATTTTACCAGAGTCGCCGCAAACTTTTCCAGACTTCTATTTGCCCTTTGCCTTGTGGTGGCTTTCAGTCTTTTTGGGCAGCAGCACCGCCTGTATATTGGGCAGCACGCCGCCTTGCGCGATGGTGACTTTGCCCAGCAGCTTGTTGAGTTCCTCATCATTGCGGATGGCCAGCTGCAGGTGGCGCGGAATAATCCGCGTCTTCTTGTTGTCGCGGGCTGCGTTTCCTGCGAGCTCCAGGATCTCAGCGGTCAGGTACTCCAGCACCGCAGCCAAGTACACAGGAGCGCCGGCCCCGACCCGCTCTGCGTAATTGCCTTTGCGGAGCAGACGGTGTACTCGGCCTACGGGGAACTGAAGGCCAGCTCGAGAAGAACGAGTCTTGGCCTTGGCGCGAGCCTTACCTCCTTGCTTGCCTCGTCCAGACATAGCGACTTTGTGAAACTCAGCTGTAGTGGAGGTAAGGCGGCAACAGCAGCCCCTTTTATAACTATTGTTAGGCGCGAAAAAGAAGACTTGCCATTGGGTAAGAGTGTAGCTTCATCTTAACCAATGGAAATGCGACGGTTGGACTTCCCTTATTCTAATTGGACGAAATGAAGTTCTGATGTCACCCTGAATAACCACCAATCAGACGCAGAACTTTAACTCTCTTTTATTTGCTTAAAATTTTCTATATAAAGAGGACAAGCATTGCTAGACCTTCACTTTTTCTCTTGGTTGCAAGGGTATTTTTTGGATCCAAAATGCCAGAACCTTCTAAATCCGCTCCAGCCCCGAAGAAGGGCTCCAAGAAGGCGGTCACCAAGGCGCAGAAAAAGGATGGCAAGAAGAGAAAGCGAAGCCGCAAAGAAAGTTACTCCATCTACGTTTACAAGGTTCTTAAACAAGTCCACCCGGACACTGGCATCTCGTCCAAGGCCATGGGCATCATGAACTCATTCGTCAACGACATCTTCGAGCGCATCGCGGGTGAGGCTTCTCGCCTGGCTCATTACAACAAGCGCTCCACCATTACCTCTAGGGAGATCCAGACTGCCGTCCGCCTGCTACTGCCCGGGGAGCTGGCCAAACATGCTGTGTCTGAGGGCACTAAGGCTGTCACCAAGTACACTAGCGCCAAGTAAACAGTAAGTTGGCAGTAAACTCAACACAAACGGCTCTTTTAAGAGCCACCATGTCTTCAAAAAAAAGAGTTGGTGCATGTTTTCCTTCGACTCATGGTAACCGCTCATAACTCGGTAAAAGCCAGTTCTTAGAAAATCTTTATTCTTCTAAGGCATGATTATTCGTCCCAGTTTTGCGTAGTCTTGACTAAACCACTAGACAAAAGCTTAAGACTGCTTTCTGTCAATCGAGATAAAAACGAGTAAATTTAACAATGTTACTTTTCTCCTGAACGGTATCCTGAGTTTCATATGTCATTTAGAAACTTCCTACATTTAAAAAGTAGTCTGTTAACTACTTCTGTTAACCACTATGGTTTAGTAACGCACTGGAAGGGAAGACTTATAAAACTCGAAGCAAATTCATACTCCCTGGACTCCTGTGTATGTTAGTATGCTGGGCTTGCGCGGGTTTGCAGAGATTGCGCGGGCAATTTGAATTTGGAGAGTGCCCGCCCTTCCGGCTTCCTGATTGGCAGCATCCAGTAACAGACCCGGCGGGTTCTCGCGTGCGAAAGAAATTCATGTCCCCAGGACAGCCCAAGTGCTCGCTGAGTAAAAAAAAAAGTCGGTTAGTCCAGCCTGGTTTTTATTCAGCCCTTAAGGACTCTAGCCCCTCCGGGAATGAGATTTACTTGGAAATTTCGTTGGAGAGAAAAGATTTTGAAGAATGTGATTTTCAGTCTTGAGAAAGATCAATGCTGTTTCTATTTAGAAAGCTTTTGCCTTTACTATGAATCCATATAAAAGAAAACATAAGAGGAAACAAGACTTTAGGGTGTAATGAAGGCAGAAAGTGAAGGCGTTTGTCTCCTGGCTCTTCTGAAACTAAAATCAATTTATTTTTTTAAAGCCTTTTCACTTGGCAGGTATTTTAAATCCTGTTACTGACTTTACCAGGAACCATTGAGGAACAATCAGTTCCAAATCAGGCAGGTGGGTCTTAAATGAGAACCAGGCATCCAACAAATGATAATGCTTCTCTGGATTATACTTACTCAGAACTATGAGTCTTTTAAAAAGCCAGACTCTAGGAAGCAGACCTCCAACTATGGCTGGGTTTTGGTTCCAGTAATTTGAAATAAGTTACTACCTTATGTATTTAAAATGTATCCAAATTTAGTGCAGCAATAATATCTGAAACAATTAGTTCTTTTGTTAAGTCATTTTCCCCTTTTTGATTCAAATCCTACACATCTTTGAAGGCCCACTGTAATCTGAAGTTTCTTCCTCTTTTTAAGCTGCTGTGCGTCTAACAATTTGTCTAGCATCTGGAAACTGCTTCCACATAGTTTCTTATATGTGTCTACTTGTATTGTTCTTTGTCTGGATTGTTGTGTGTACAACTCTGTCATGAAATTTCCACTCAACATGAAAAATAAGGAATAAAAGAGGAAAAGAAAGAACATTTTCTTTTGCTATCCCACACTAATGATAACTGAGGCCTGTGAATTAATAGTATAAATGATTTTTATTTCATGACTTATGTCACATGAGGCCCTGATTCTCTTTTGTGGTTGTTAGTTTTTTTCCCTATGGAATGGGACCAAGCAAGGGATGAGTGGTTCAATGCAGATGTGGGGGACATTTCATTGCCAACCTAAACAAAAGATTCCTGCCATTTTCTGGGCCCAGGGGCTGGAGGAAGAAGGGAAAGAGTTAGGAGTGGGAAAATACTAGATTTTGAGTCAGAGTGGAGTAAACTGTTTCAAGGCCCATTGATAAGGTGATAGCAGAGGGGCTGGTTAGAGACCTTAGCCAAGAGCTCTCTTGGTGGTGAGAAATTCACCACGTCTGCCTTCTGCACTGATATGTCTGACCCTCACCCTATGGCACCAGCCTGTGGGGGAAAATGGAACAATGTAATCTTAAATTTGGTATTTAGAAAACAAAAACTATTTTCTTTTTTTAAAGGAAATGATAATCCATGAACAATGAGAATTCCTATCATCTAGATTATAGTCTGTCAATGTTTGCAAACATGGCAACTTGGAAATTTGGGTACATGCTATGGATTAAGTAGATTTAAGAGACATAACCAGAAGGCTGGTAGTTCAAACCCACCAGCCACTCCTTGGAAGGAAGGTTGGGCAATCTACTTCGGTAGTGATACCGCAGTGGAAACCCAAGGAGGGGTCGCTATGAGACTCGACAGCACATAACAACAACAGCAGCAAGAGACATAAACAAATGCCTTGTGTGGATCTCATGATATCCTTATTCAGGTAAAATCACTGTAAAAAAAGTATTTGAAACTAGGGATTAATATTTTTTGAGGACTAGGTATTGGATCATGTTGCAAATAATTTTGATACTTTCTTAATGAAAACTATATTGTGTTTTCTTTAAGTCCGAATCTATTAGGGTGCTTGTGGAAATATTAAATAATAAATAATATATAACTATTGAAATAACATGTTTTGGATTTCTTTACGTCCTTTTCCCCCACGTAGGTGATGATAATAAATGAAACAAAATGGGCAAGATGTTCGTAATTGTTGAAGTATGTGTGATGGGTACTTGAAGATCCATTATTCTCAATATTTTCGTATGTGCTTCATTATTTCCACTCCTCCCGCCAACGTTTGAAAATAAAGTCAGCTCAGTTAACGAACATGTTTCTTGTTGGTCAAAAAGGACCACACTGAGAGAAATCAAGTGTCACAGAGAAATTCTGGCCACTGGGGAAACCGGAAGAGAGGCGTTTGCAGGGAGGAGATCCCAGAAACTCACATCCTTCAGTCAGCCGGTAAATTAAGAAACGCTATTGCCACCTTGTGGCCATTTAGGATAATGTAGCTAAAACATTGTTTTGGTTTGGTTTATGATTTCAATTAAACGTTTGAACTCTAGGGTTTAATCATCTCATATATAAAGAATATAGTAAGCAATTCCACTCCGAACCCAGTCACCAACCACTAGTTCCCCCATCTACGACAAAACAAAAACCAAACTTACTGCCATCGAGTGAGTTTCGACTCCTAGTCGTAACTGAGACTGTAAATCACTCACATTGTTTTATTTACTCAATTTAATTTTTCCACAAACATAGATATCATTATCCTCGTCTTAGAGATGAAGTTGAGACTCAAAGGAGAAACATAACTTCCTAGAAATTAAATGGCTGGTAAGTGGCAAAGCCAGTACTGGAAAGCAGATTTTTACTCCAAAACGTATGTAAACTTTCCAACTCAGCTCATCTCCCCTCTATCATTCCTTCTCCGTATGCGCTCACCATATCTACAGATGGGTGGATTGCTTCATCAATAAGACCCCCCCCCCCCCAGGACTTGCCAGCTCTTGCAGACTGTTTCTGCTCATTCTCTTTTCATTTATTCCTTCATCTATTCATGATATATAATATTGTGGAGGAAATGCTGGGTCACATATATGTTGCCGCTGATTTCAGAGTTTGATGGGGAGGAACATGGCCTGACATTTGGGGCCCTTCCCTGCTCGAATAGCTCCTGGTTTCTCCACCGCTAGTAACCTCACCGCCCTTCCCTCCCGCAGTCCGCAGTTAAGGGCACATGCTTCAGAGCTCAGTTTGATAATGCAGCTCCTCTGCTTAGAGCTTTTCAAAATATCAATACTTTCGATCTGTATTTCCAGCCATTGTCATCATCTACAATTTTTCCAGTTTTTAAAAAATGACTTCTACCCTGAATGGGTGCTTCACATGCAATTAAACAGGCTCTTTCTTCCTAGAGGAATTTTCCACTTCCATACCTGTCTCCCTCCTCTATTCCCTCTGTGTCATCCTTCATTACCCACTCTTGTTTCTTTCTATCTGATATTTCTTTTCTCTAAGCCTCCAGACTCTTTATTTACACTTGCTTTTATTTGTTTTTCTGCCATGTACTAGGATTTTATGTTTGTTTTTCACAACACCTGCCTCTTCTCAAAAACAGTGACTATCATATGCACTAGTACATTGTCAATACCTAGCATGTAAACTTCAGAATTTGGTGATTTGTCCTGGAAAGAGTGGAAAGAGCTAGGTTTTTCTTGAAGACTAGAGCTTAGAACAACCTTTTACAGATTTCAAGAGAAGAATTGAAAAACATTTGTCAGAAACTTGCAATTTTCACAAGGGGCAGCCTGCTCTGTCCAGGCCTTGACAGTGTCTTGGACCAAAGGAGTTTTGTTTTCGTCTATTTCCTGCTCAAAATAAAATGTTGATTTTTCACTTGCAAAATCTAAAATTTTACTGGCATGGTCTTAAATGTCCATATGATGTGTATCAAATAAGATTTAGGACAGTAAATGGGAGGGGGCTTTGTGCTTCATCCTGTTTGCCTGGTAAGCAAAAGGTCTTGGATTCAAATCACTGTAGAATTTTTAGTTTTGCATTTCCTAGCTCTCCCGGATACTCATTTCTTTTCACAAAATGGTCACCACCTAGATAAAGTCTCATTTGCTTCATCTGGTAGGTTCCATATCTGACCTACCAGTACTTGGATACTCAGAGTAATTATAATGGCATATTTTTGGTTTTATAACAACAAGTAAGACTGATATTAGGGTAGGTCAGTAGTTTCAACATTTTATTTAGGTTTGCCAACAATATTTGAGTTGAATATCATTTAAAATATTTTTATGTTCACTGTAACTTGACTGTGAATTGATTAGCATACATAATGTAACTCTAAAAAAGAAAAACCAAACTCACTGCCGTTAATGTAACTCTAGAGGGGGAGAAAACAGGCATGGTGATTTGCGAAGTTAATAGCCTTGATAACCCTATGGAGCACAGTTCTACTGTGCACACATGGGGTTGCCCTGCGTCAGAATCAATTGGGGGGGCAACTAACAATAATTATAATAAATTATTAATACACTTAATAAAAAATCATTTTATGTAAAAGCTAATTGCAAAAACTACAAGGAGGCCACATGTTCTGACCTCCTCTAATCCCACGAGAGGAAGACAGGATTACCAGCAGTAACCCAAGGCCTAT